GCTGTCCTCTGCTGGGTGCTGCAGCTTGGGGTGGCCTTGGGGTCTGACCTGTGAGCAAAGGTGCCCTCAGAGTCTGCCGCGCTCCCTTCCCCAGTTTGCACTGACAACGGCACATCTGGCCCAGGTGATGTTCATCTTTCCCAAAGATAACGCTGGTTGGGGTCAGGTGGAGGACGCTACCAGCCCTGCTAGCTTGACTTTGAACCTGCCCCATATGTGGGGCTCTGTAGCCGGGGCGGATGCCCGCTTCTGCCTGGCTCCCTGGGGGGAAGTGAGGGTCTGGCTGGGAAGGGCTGTCCCTGCGCATGGGGTGCGTGGCCTTGGGACATGCCAGTTGTGTTTTCTTCCACACCCACTCCTCCAACCACATGAAATAGTGTTTTTCCTCAGTTTATGCCCCTGCTCCAACACACAAAGGACTTTTTTTTCAAGCACATATTCTTTTTAATTGTAAAATATAAATGTCCTTGTATTTTTATTATCCAAGTAGTGCGTACGCTCTAGACATTCAAGCAATATATAAACCTGTAAATTAGAAAGTGAAGAGTCTTCTTATGTGGAACTGCACTTAGATAATTATTGTTAATTTTTAAAATCTGCATATATAAATGTACTTATATGTATATCTTAGGATGAAATGAACCTGTACAGGGAAAGGTGTCTACAATACGGTGTTGGTTTTAAAAAGCCAGTTCACAAGTAAAACTCCACCTTCCCAGGAGGGATGGAGGAGCACAGCGAGTCGGCTCCCTTGTTGAGACCTGTACTCAGGTGTCCCTGTGTGGAGGTGTGGGAGCAGGCCAGCAAGCTGGAGGTGGCGCTCCTCCCTCTTCACAGGGCAGGGGTGGGGCGGGGAGGGGGGAGTCTTGGGGTCTGACAGCTATCAACAAGATTTCCTCTTTGTTATGGGGAGGGCCTGCCCATCCCCTGTCCCCACCCTGGTCTCCCCACCCTGGTCTTGCTCAACAGGACTCATCCCCTCCCTCCCCTCCCCCTCCCTCGGTTCCCAGAAGTGGGACCAAGGCCGCCAGCTGCAGCCTGTCCAGGTTCCCTATCGGATTATGAAGCTTAACATTTTTGTGAAGAAAGAAGAAAGCCTTCCCTCTGGAAAGCGATAAGAACATTCCATCCTCCTCTGGCTCCAGGGAGCCTGGGAAACAATCACCGCAAGGAGAGAGACTCCCCAGGGACGGGCTCCCCAGGGCAGGGGCCAGGGCTGCCCTCTGCCGGCCCTCCCTTCCGGTCCTGCCCTGCTCCGCTACAGGGGCCTGGTCAGCGAGAGCCTGGGGCAGGGGCCTGGGGAGGAGGGCAGGCCTCCGGCCGCAGGGACGAGGGTTCCTCTGGGTGGGGGCTTCTCCCCAGCCTGGGGCTGCCAGGGGCCAGGGAACCTGGGGCACCAGCCCTCATGACTGGGTTGTCCAGTGTCGGAGGTAGGGAGCATCCCCCAACAGGAGCACTCAGGAGAGAGGGCGCTGGGGGGGGGGGGCGCGATGCTCCACAGCTGGGGATGACCTAGAGCCTGGGATGCATGGGACACCACGAGCAGAGCCAGTCACTTGATGGGCTGGGGACCTGAGGGAGGCTCCTGTGGTTGGCACAGTGACCCCAGCGCTGCCCAGTGAGTGCACCCCACCCACCAGAGCCTCTTCTTTCCTTCCTTCTCGCCCTCCCTCCTCTCCCCCTTTCAACCACAAATAGCATTCACTAAAGCCTACTGGGTTCCAGGCCCATGAGAGAGAAAAGGCTAGGCTGTGCCTCCTCTTCATTCCTTGGGCACGGGGGAAACACACTGCCTCAGGGCCTTTGCGCGGCTTTCCCTCATCTAATGTCCCTTCATTTCAGGTCATTCGCTGCTGCCATTCTCCCAGTGAGGCCTCCCTTGCCTCCATACCTAAATTGTCCACCCGCCCTCCTTCCCCTAGTGGGCACTACTATCTCTTAGGTTGTGTATTTTACTGATTGATCACATTTCTCATTAGACTCTTTGCAATAAATTTTATAATAATAAATAACCCCCAAGGGCAGGAACCCTCTACCCTTGCTTCGGTGCCAAGAGGGCTGGGCAGAGCAGGCTGTGCAGCTCAGGGACCTGGCAGGAACCAAGTGACTCCTGTACCTCCTGTAGACGGGAATTGAAGAGCATTTGCTGGAGAGACTACTTACAAACTCTGTGTGTAGTTCGGGGAAACAACCAAGAGGTGTGAAACACCCCACAGCTGGCAACAGCGGGGTCGTTACCGGTCCCAGGTTACCAGAATGCTGTTGGACAGACCAGGGCCACGGCCAAGTGGAAGGCCAGCAGGGCAGGCATCCCTCTCTGCTCTTACCCTCTGGTCTCCTGCAGCCAAAGGGCAAGGTCAGCCTCCCGGGCAGAGCGGGAACAGCCTGGGTCTGGAGGAGCAATGGAGATCCACTCACAATAATGTCTGTTGAATGAATGAGTGAATGCCCCTAAGAAACCCACAGATTGGTGAAGACACATCCATTCCTTTGCTCGTTCATTCACTCATGTACAGTCATCACTTAATGCTCGGGATGTGCATCAGCCTTCGTCGTGCGATCTTGGCGAGCACTCACCTAACCCTGCGTGGTGTAGCCTACCACACACCTAGCTGCTAGGCTACAGACCTGTGCCCTGTGTTACTGTGCTGAATACTGTAGGCAGCTGTGATACTATGGTAAGTATTTTTGTACCTAAACATAGAAAAAGCACAGTAAAAACACGGTATTATAATCTGGGACCACTGATGTGTATGTGGTCCTTGGCTGACCAAATGTTATGCAGCACAGACTGCGTTTATTCATTCGTTCATCTAGGGTGTAGCTATTGACAACTGGATGGACGTTAAGATGTGTCAATGACACTGTGGAGCAGTCTCAGCCCTCCCTAGACCCCAGCCCCAGGACAGGCTTGCTGGAAACATGGACACCGAGGGCCCGTTTCACGATCTGGAACTGCTGCTGCCCGGTCCGCCTGGCCCCGCTGCTTGCCGTGCGCTGCGGGGGCAGCTCTAGAGCACACCTGGGGAGGGCGCGTCACGCCTGCCACAGGCTGGGGCTCGCAAGACATCCGTGGGACCTGTCAGGTCAGGCAGACTGGGTGGAAGCACTGGGTGTGGGAGACGTCACTTATTACTTGTTTTTCTGTTTTTCTAAGCCTTGGGGATTTGAAGATTGATGATGAGGAGGTCACGGAGCCCGGAGACAGGCAGCCTGCGGGCCCTTTACTCTCGCAATCACTAACGCTGAGCAGCACGCGTGTGTGCCAGGGCTCTAGCATGTGCGCTCGTCTGCTCTGCATGACAGCCCCCTGCATCCTGCATTCTAGCCCCCCACGACTATTGAGGGGACCTGAAGCTCAAGGTCCCACAGCGATCAGATGGCAGAGCTGGCATTGGAACCTGGTGGTTTGCCTCCAGAGCCTGCCCTGATGTCCTTTATGTAAAGACTTTCGATGACACGTCTATGGCGGGGGCGGGGCAGTCCTGTGAGGGAGATCTGGGGGGACTCTTGGTGTTTCCCCACCCATCTGGGGAAGGGACCCTCTGCAGGAGCAGTACTGCAGGGAGGGGACTTGGTCAGAGACCAGTGTGGACTCCAGGCTGGGGATTGCCGGCCAGGTGAGACCCTCATCTCTCTCACACACCTATCGCCCACAGCAGCTTCCTCCCTGGCCACCTGCCCCATCTGCCCCTTGCCGGACTCATTCTGCACGAGGTCTGTGTTCAAATCTCATGACCCTTTGGCAGCTCCTGTTGACCACAAGATAAAAGGTCCAAACTCCTCTGCATGGCCTGGAAGACCCTGCAGGCCCCCCTCTCCCCTCACCCACCTTATTTGGGTCATGTCCTCTTTGCCTTCTCCACTGCAGCCCACTGGCTTTCTGGCTGGTTCTAGAAGCCACATCACTGGAATGACCTTGGGACCATTCCTCTTACTGGGTCCCCCACAGGGAATGCCGATCCCCTAGTTCTTCAGATACTTTGTTCCTTCACATCATCCAGGTCTCAGTTCAAGTCGTGCCCTTTGAGGACTTTCCTCAATTATCTTCCTTGTTATATATGTGGGCAAGGTAATTCCTCCACTAAAATGTAAGCTTCAAGAGGAAGGAAATGTGCTGTTTTGATTGATGTTGTGTCCTCAGTGCCTAGAACGGTGTCTGGCACATCATGTATGCGAAATCAAACATTCTCGGGTAAGAACTTACCCTGCTATTTCCCATCCCTGGACCTTTGAGCCCCTGCCCTCTTCACATAGCTAACTCCACCGACCCTTTAGTGCAGAGCCCAAAGGCTACTTCTTTGGGGAGGCCTTCTCTCTGACTGCCCACTTGTGCTGGTCCCTGTTCCACCCCCCCAACATTCCACCCTCCCAGAGCCCAGGATGTCGGTGGTTGCAGCTCACTCTTGCCCTTGCTGGTTCAGTGCTCATCTCCGCACTAGAAAGCCAGCGCCATGAGCAGTGCTCAGGGACTGTGCCCTTTTGGTTACTGTCATGACCTGGTGCTCAGCACAGTGTCTGGCACACAGGAGATGCTCCAAGATTTTGTGTTGAATCACTGGGGTGACAGCTGGGAGCCTCAGGTGACCATCGGAGTGAAGGCACTGGCCTCTCCAGCTGCTTCTACCGTGAAAGGTCTGGAAAGCTCTGCCAGCCATTTTCACATACACGATCTCTATCTTTCCAGCACATCCGTGAGGCAGGTATGGTGATCCTCCCTTACAGGAGAAGAGACAGAGGCTTGGAGAGATTAGCAATATTCCCAAAGTCACACACTAGAAAGCCGGAACTCAAACTCTGGCTCACCTGACTCAAATGCGCTTCTTCCTGGGGGTCCCTTGGGCTGCAGCGTGGCTCTGGTGTGACTGATGGAGACAGCAAGCTGCAGGGTAGATGACCCCAGGCAAGGTGGGAGGCAATCCCTTCTCTCCAAGATTCTTTTGTTCCCTACAGCCTGTATTAGTTATTTATTGCTGCGTAACAAATTAACCCAACATTAGTGGCTTGAAACAATGCATTTATTATTTCACAGTTTCTGTGGGCCAGGAACTCCAGTGCAGTTCAATTGGGTCCTGAGCTTCAGGGTCTCTCACAGGCTGAAATCAAGGTATTGACGGGGGCCGTGGTTATCTCATGACTCACCTGGGGAAGGAGAGGCTCCAAGCTCACTCCCATGGCCGCTGGTGGAATTTGGTTCCTTGCTGGCTGTTGGCCAGAGGCTGCTCTCAGTGCTTTGTCACGTGGGCCTCTCTAATGTGGCAGCTTGCTTCATCAAAGCCAGCAAGCCAAGAAAGCAAGACAGTGCCAGAAAAAGGGAAGTCACGGTCTTTATAACTTAATCATGGAAATGACATTCCATCATTTTTGCTGTAGTCCCTTCATTAGAAGCATGTCCGTAGGTCCAGCCCACACTCGAGGGATGGGGATGGCACAAGAGTGCCAGGAGGCAGGGATCCAAGGGAGCCACCACAGAGCCCTGTGCTGTTTGGGCAGCTATCAGATCATGCATTCCTACAGGGCAGCCAACCTTGCCCTGCTTACCAAACCCGATTGAGTGAGCAGGCTGCATGCATTCATTCATGGACTTGCTTATTTATTCAACAGACATTTACTCCGTACTTACCGTATGCCAGATCTTCATTGCTGGAGTTATAAAACTGAAGAAGGCTCATTTCTTGCCTTGAAAAAGACAGATCTGTAAAGAAAGAAGGGAGATTTAGTGCCAACTCATGGGGACTTTGGGCTATAATGCCCCTTTAACACTTCCTATGCTCTAGGCATCAGTCTGAGTACTGTACACATACTACCTCTCATTTGATCCTGGCAGCAGCCTATGAGATAGGCACAGTCGTCCCTCAGTGTCCCTAGGGGATTGGTCGGCTCCAAGACCTCCCTCTGATACTAAAATCTATGTATGCTCAAGTCTCTGATATAAAATGGTGTTGTATTTGCATAAAACCTATGGACATCCTCCTGTGATCATCTCTAGATCACTAATAATACCTGATACAATGTAAATGCTTTGTAAATAGCTGTTATACTTTATTGTTTAGGGAATAATGAAGGGAAAAAGATTTGAACATGTTCAGTACAGATGCAATTATTTTGGGAATATTTTGGATCTATGATTGGTTGAATGCACAGATGTGGACTCCACAGATGCCAAGGCCTGACTGTGTTATTATTATCACTTCTTTTTATAGTAGAAGGCACTGAGGCGCAAAGGGGTTAACTGTTTTTCAAGGTCGCCTAGCTGGTGAGGCAGGGCGATGATTGCAGCCCAGGCAGTCGGGCTCCTGAGTCCACACACTTAGCCCCTGGCCCATCCTGTCTCTTGAAAAGCAGGCTCCACGAGAGTGGCTTTCAGCAGAAGGACAGGTGCTAGGGGCTGTCCTTGGGAGCAGCTCTCCCTTGGCTTTTAGGGCCACTATGTAGACAGATAATTTTTTCAGGGTATTATTTGGAATGGGGAGAGTGGCTGGGAAGCCCACTTGGCAAGCAAGGGAAGAGAGTTGTTTTGGTTTCAAAGATTGACATTTTAATAAACTGCTCTTAATTAACAGCACTTTGAAATTCTGAGTGGCGTGCTCTCCATCTCAACACACGCGGGCGGGTGGCTTCTTAGAGAGCGGGATGCTTGTGGGTGATCTCCCTTTTTGAAACAAACCCAGACCCTCCAGTCACAATTTATTTTTCATTCCAAAAATGATCTTTACTGCAAATGTTGCTTTGGTTCAAGTGAATTAGAAATCCTTATTACACAGGAAGGCACTTCAAACAGTGCCCGGCTCGCCACGCCGGCTGCGGCATCAAAGGCTCCGCTGGAATCTCTGATTACCACCCAGGCTGTCGCCCACTCGGGAGCAGGCGGCATCTGAGGCGCGCACCCTGGCTCTGGGACTGAGCAAGCGGGCTCAGGGGGCGCAGGAGCCAGGCAGCCTCCACGCCAACCTGGGTGCCTCCCCGATTCTCGGGCTTGGAGCGCGCGCTGTGGGCAGGAGGGGAGAGATGGTGTCGATGACCTTGGCTGGGCACCTACTGTGGACACACTTTTCTGCAGCAGAAGGAGGCCAGTCTGTATGGGCCTGTGACCCCCTCCAGAAGTAAGGCAACGTCACAACTCTTCACTCCCCCCTGGGCCATAGGTATTATTTCCCTGGTTCTAGAGATAGGGAAGGGAGCTGAGTTTCATGGCTGCCCCGTTAGCAGGAGGTGAAGCTGACATTCACTTGGCTCCATTTGATTCTGTCTTCGCCTCTAAATCGAACTCCTCAAGGTTAGGCTTGGGTCTCCCTCATTTGGTGTCCTCATCAGCCAGCACAGGGGCTCCCTCAGGGTTGCCCCTGGGCAATGTCCTTGAAGTGACCAAACCAGATTCTTTGTTTCATTCAACAATACTTATTGAGTCTCTACTACGTGTTAGGTGCTGTCCTTGTTATCTGTCTTTGTGAGTCTGGGCTGCTATAACAAAGTACCACAGGCTGGGTGGCTCATAGACAAAAGAAATTTATTTCTCACAGTTCTGGGGGCTGGAGAGTTCAACATCAAGGTACCAGCAGATTGGGTGTCTGGTGAGGGCCTGTTTTCTGGTTCCCAGACAGAAACTTACTTCTGTGCCCTCACATGGTAGAAGGGGCAAATGAGGTTTTGGGGTCTCTTTATAAAGGCATTAATCCCACTCATGAGGGCAGAGCTCATGATCCAGTCACCTCCCAAAGGCTCTGCCTCCTAATACCATCAGCTTGGGGGTTAGGATTTCAATGCATAAATTTTAGGGGACACAAACATTCAGGTCATAGCAGTGTTGATGGCATTAAGATGGTGGCCCTCCCAAAAAAGATATGTCCACAACTTAATCCCTGGAACCTGTGACTGTGACCTTATTTGGAAAAAGAGTCTTTACAGATGACATTAAGTTATGGATCTCAAAGTAAGACCATTCTGGATTACCTGGGTGGGCCCAAATCCAATAACAACTGTCTTTATAAAAGACAGAAGAGGAGGAGGCAGAAGAGAAGACCATATACAAATGGAGGCAGAGATTGGAGTTTTGTAGCCATGAGCCAAGGAACCCTTTGAACCACCAGAAGCTGGAAGAGACAAGAAGGACTTTCCCTTAGAGCCTTTGGAGAAACTGTGGCCCCACCAACACCTTGATTTTCAACTTCTGGTCTACAGAACTATGAAAGAATAAATTTCTGTTGTTCTAAGCTCCTCCTTTGGTGGTGCTTTGTTATGGAAGCCCCCAGAACACTACCAGAGCTGGCATTGGAGGAAAGGATGATGTCTTGGCCCCTTCCCTCTCTGGACATGCATGGGAGACATGGGGTTGATGGAGGAGAGGGGAGGTGGCTGGAGATGCTATTTATCTCACATGGACCTGGGTCTGGGTCACTCTTCTCTGGAGGTGTTTGACTTTCTCTAGCTTAAGTGTGGAGGCAGCAGGCCCCTCAGCAACTTGGCCATCATTACACATAGCATGCTAATGAGTTGAGCAAACGTAAGTGAAAATGAGTAGCTGCATATATATATGGACCCCTCAAACTGCAGCAGGCCATGGAGATGTAGGGGCCAGGGTGTCTGGGTAAATGCTAGTGGGGAATGGGCATGGTGGCTCACACCTATAGTTCCAGCAATTTGGGAGGCCAAGATGGGAGGATCTCTTGAGCCCAGGAGTTCAAGACCAGCCTGGGTGACATAGCGAGACCTCATCTCTGCAAAACATAAGAAGAATTAGCCAGGTGTCATGGTGTGCACCAGTAGTCCCGGCTACTTGGGAGGCTGAGGTGGCAGGCTCACTTGAGCCCAGGAGTTCAAGGCTACAGTGAGTTGATTGTGCCACTGAACTTTAGCCTGGGTGACAGAGTGAGACTCGTATCTAAAAACCAACAACAAAACAACACTGGTAGGTTTCCCTGCAGCTCTGGCCATTGAGATCTCTTGGCGTTCAGAAAGGTGGTGCCGGATAGAAATTTGCCAACTGTTTTGAGAGGGACTACAGGAGAACCCAGCTCTCTTTACCCATCTTCTCAGGGAGACAACCAGCTGCTGTTCCAGTGCTCAGAGAGTCAGCTTAGCCTTAGGCAGCCCTTCCTGGGATTCTCTGCAGAAAGTTCTTCCCTATATGGAACCTATGTATTACTCTCCATGATGTCTATTTTTGTTCTAATTTCACAGATGGGGAAATTGAGTCTCAGCAACATTCTAGAGTTATACATACATTAACTGCAGAAGCGAGCATCCTGAAAGACTACAGAACCTAAATTACCTGCCATGGCCATGAAAAGAGTAAGCTGCAGTTGCGGCTTGCAGTTGTCACCCCATGCCGTGAAGCATCACTGTTGACCATTATGACAGGCACTAAGATAACTGACTCATGTGCTCAGTTGCAGTCCCTGGAAGACCAGGGAGGCTGCCTAAACTGGTGGCTTTCTCTCTATACCTCTACAGGATAGAAATATCTTGGGGTGGGAGTATTTCACAATATTTCCTTAGCTTTTGGTCTCCTGGGTCCATCTGCAAGCAAGCGTTCTGCCTGACATAGGGCATCCATCTGGAACCTGTTCGCTCTGTCTTGGTAACCTTAGACACATTATATATCAATAAATTTTAAAACATAAATGCAATTAGTTATGGTCATTGGAGAGACAAGATTGTATTTGAGTGTGAATTTGACTGGCCAGTCACCCCTCCTTCCGGGTAGGCTACTGGATGTGGGTATACTTAAAGGATAATAGCACATACCACTTCATTATGAGCTGGGACTAGTCTGGTGCCTTCCAATGCAGAGGCCTGGCAAGGCGGGGCAGGAACACAGTGGGACTTCTTTCTCTCCATCTAAGCTGAACCCAAACCTTACCATGTCCAACGTCGGGGCTGTCCTAAGGCACAGTGCTACACGACTTAGGCTTTCCGCAAACCATTACTCATCTGCGATAAGATAACCATCACGTGGAGAATGTAAATAAACACCCTGCCTCCTTCACCAAGAAAGTCTTGCTAAGAAAAATGGGTCAGTGGAACCAAACAGTATGCTCAGTGACATAGTCAACTTAAATTCTGCCACAATCTTCTTATCTCATGGCAGGCCAGTAAAAACCAGTTCATAGCTTAACAGTGGTTCATGAACCACATTTTTAGTAGCACTGCTGTAGAGATGTAAGAAACGCCAAGAGAGAAAGTTACCAGGGCTTGCCCTAAAGAGGGGTAACCATTGGCCCCCTACCTCCCATGCCAGGAAGCTGCTGGAAGCGGAGAGAGAGCCTCAGGGCACAAGGCCCCGCATGGTGATTCTGCTCATTAGCAAGCATGGCCCCATCTAGCAGATTAGAATTTCTCCTCCAGGTGAGCAGGAGTGAGGAAAAGGCTGGGCAGAGAGATGAAGAGGGATAGAAGATTTCCTTTTCCGTTACAGAAATTTCTTTTGATTTTGCTGTAAAGCCTCAGCAGCAAGGAAATAAGTTCCTGGCAATCGTACCGTGACACTTACACGTTCTTGAATTTTACAGTTCTTGATCAATGTAACAGCAGGAGGCCCGCAGGCATCTTACCGCCTTCCTGGGAAATGTGAGGCTCCGTTTCCAGGGTGCTGGCATGCCGGGTTTGGATTGGCAGGATGCTGGGGAAAGCTGAGATGGGCACAGCTAACCCAGTTCTTCAGTTGGTCTGACCGGAGGCCAGAGGGCCCCAGAGACAGGAGAGAGGCTGGCTCCCAGCTCCCTTTGGTGGGCTTCCCCCTCCCCGGCCAGAGTGGTCAGTGTTTGAGGGGTTGCAGCCTGAAAACGCACCTGGGACACTCTTGGTGTGGCCAGGAGGGTCTATGACACGGCAGTCATCTGTGGCAACGTAGGGAGGAGACGGAGGGGTCCTGGGGTTTCCTTGTGCTCTCACCTGTTCGCACCCAAGCTGGACTTGAAACGGTGCTGAAGAGGACCCGGGTGGCCAGCCTGGCCTGGAGAACGGAGGGCAAGTCCTCAGGGAAGCCTCCCATGGAGCTGGCTGGGGGCTGGGCCCTGCCTGCATGGTGCCCTTGGAGCTCAGTTAACTGATTCCAACCCGACACCCCCTTCCCAGGTGCCTCTTCTGCAGTGGGCTCTGCGGGGGACCCAGAACTGTGTCTAGCACGCCCTGCCTAAAGCACTAGCAAGAGCTACTAGGAAGTGTTCCCCTTGAGCCAAGCTGCTGCTGAGAGCCTGGCATGTGTCATCTAATTTAAGCGTTCCAGCACTCCTCAGAGGGAGGGGCTGTATTGTCATCCCCTTTCACAGTTTCAAAAGTGGATCGAGATGGTGGAGCAGGGACTTGAACTCTACAGTCAGGCTCTAGACCAGTGGTTTGACCCTGGCTGTACATTCGCACCACCTGGAGAGCTTTGACAAACCACCCGTGCCCAGAGCCCCCTCTAAATCAATTAACTCAGAATCTAGGGGATGAGACCTGGCAACAATATCGGAAGATTATGCCCAAAGGCTGGGTTGTGTGTTCCGCCAGGGTTGAGAACCTTGTCTCTGGAGCCCGTCAGCCTAACTGCTGCCCTGCACCGCCTGCACCCCGCTCATCTCCACTGCAGCCCCCAGGTCGTAGGGACCCCTAAGCCTTTTTATCCCACTGGGCCACAGGGGTCTCTGACCCAAGGAGGACTAGGACAGTGTCATAAGAGAGATACCAGGGTGAGAGCCTGGAGGAGAGAGGGAGCCCTCCCAGCAGGGAGGGATCAAGGATAACTTCCTGGAGAAGGCAGGAGAGTTTGGGGAAGGGTCAGAGGTCGGAGAGGCTTCTGGGAACTTAGTCTTTGTTCTTTCCTATAAACTTGACCCCCTGGGTACTGGGAGCCATGGAAGGTTTATGAGCACAATACTGACCCCATCAGAAAGCCATCGCCTTGCTGAAGCCCCCGTAGTGCAGTTTCTGCTATACCTCCTTACCCCAGGGGCAATGCCAGGATGCTGGGGTGGGGCTGATGCTGGGAAATGGAGTTTGCAGAGGAAACCATTGATGACAATCAGGGTGTAAACACCGCATCAGAAAAGACATCCTCTTGCTTCCCTCTACCTCCCTGTGCACACGGGCAATGACGAAGGCTCCCCACGCCCGTACACTGTGCCGCTTCTCCCCTCTCCGCCTTTGGCCCCACGGTTTCTTCTGCCTGGAGAGCCCTCCCCTCGCCATCAGCCATGAGAACACATTCATGTTTATACTTAGAGTCCTGTTCCAGAAGTCAGCGTGAACCCTCCCAGGAGGGATTTTTTTTTGAGACAGAGTCTTGCTCTGTCACCTGGGCTAGAGTGCCATGGTGTAATGGCAACTCAGAGCAACCTCAGACTCCTGGGCTCAAGCGATCCTCCTGCCTCAGCTTCCCAAGTAGCTAGGATTATAGGTACTTGCCATCATATACAGCTTATTTTTTTCTATTCTATATATATATATATATATATATATATATATATATATATATATTTTTTTTTTTTTTTTTTTAGTAGAGACAGGGTCTTGCTCAGGCTGGTTGTGAACTCCTGATCTCAAGTGATCCTCCTGCCTCGGCCTCTCGGAGTGTTAGGATTACCAGTGTAAGCTACCCTGCCCGGCCCCAGGAGAGATTTAACACCTTTCTCCTCAACCCACCTGCACCATGCACATAATTCTAATCTCCTGCACAGATTGTGCTGTCATTGTAATTGTCTAAATGCTTGATTCCCTGCTAGACAGTAAGCAACTTAGGCAGAATTCCTGGCACATAATAGGTGCTTAAAAAATAAGTCATTGTCAGGTTTAATTTCTCTCCAAAGTCAGGAGTCTTGAAATGGTAGAGTTTTCGGAAGCACCCCTAACTTCCTATGGTCATCCCTTCTCCGTATGCCCAATATTCTCCATTATCTTCACTGCCTAGGACCAAACAATTGTCTGAAAAGTTCCCTTTGAAAGACAAAAGAATTAACTGAGATTTTGGTGTCAATAACTGCCTGGCCACCATTTGCAATTGAGTCCAGCCTAGCTTGTCAGATTGGCCGTATTGGATCTTGGGGGAGAGGAGCACTAGTGGGCCTGGATGGGGCTGAGGGGGCAGGGAGGAGAGGCCTAGGCCAGGGGGTTGCAGTGTTCTGTGAGGGTGCAATGGGTATGGCCTCATTATTGCTGCAGCACTGGCTGTGTGGGCACAGGAGGGTGAGGGGCTTTTGGGGGAGGGGGTCAGGGAAGCATTAAGGACTCACATTCATGGTGGCAGCAGGCATCACTCAGATGGCTCAGGGATCAGCTGGGTTTGGATCCCAGAATGCGTGTGGGTGCACACGTGTGTAAGTGTGAGCTACCAATTTGCTCTGATGACTGTGGGCAGACCCAGGCTCCCAGGGCCAGCCAAAGAGGGGATTACTTTCTGGTTTAGTAGATTAAATGCTGAGGTTTCTGTGAATTAAACCCCAAAGCAGCTTTGGAATGTTTTCACTGTCTCTACTGAGAAAATGAGATCTTTTTCATCTGGTAACACTGGGATAATAGTACATGGATCCCTGGGCTGCAGAGAGGATTAAATGAGATCCTGTACGTGAAAGCCCCGGCCTGTGCCTGGGACACAACGAGGCCCCAGTAAATCGAGGTTCGCAAGTAAACGGAGGCTGGGGTGGGTGGAGCGAGCCTGAAATAAGAGCTTCACGCCTTAAAGACAGCAGCCAGGGCTCTTTCTGTCTTTGAGCTTTCAGTCCTAGGGTAGCTCAGGCTTTGATCAAATGTGGGTTCTCTCCCAACCTGTCCACGTCCTGGCAGGAGACCTGAAGCGAGTTCTTTAATCTCTCTGAGACTCAAGTGCCGCATGGTCATAGAACCTATCTTACAGGGTTGCTGGGGGATTTGATGAGCTCATCTGTTCCTTACTCAACTCCCAGCTTCTGTCTGGCCCTGCCAGTCCATTCCCCAAAGAGTGGCCAGATAAGCCCTTTAAAACTGAAGTCTGAACTTGTTATTTCCCTGCAAGCAACTGGGAATGCTTAGAATAAAATCTGAAGTCCTTGCCATGGCCGGCACACCCTCAGTGATCTGCACCCCGCATGAACTCCGCCGGCAGCCGGCCAGCTTCCCTGCCGTTCCTGAAGAGGCTGCTGTCTCAGGGACTTTGCACTTACTGATTCCTCTCTCTGCCTGGAACGCTCTTCCTCTGGCTAACTGCATGGCTTGCCTCTGCGCTTAATGAATCTCTGCTCAATTGCCACCTCCTCCTGGAGGCCACCCTGATTCCCCTTTGTAAATGGCATTCTGTCTCTGTTCCCTTACTCTGATGCATTTTCCTTCATGTCACTGAGCAGCAGATGACATTGTCTTGTGTATTTGTCTACTGTTGGCTCCCTGGCTAGAATGTAACCTTCAGGAGAGCAGGGACTTCACTTGGACTTTGGCTCAGAAGGTCCTTAAACTGAATAACTATTTGGGAAAGGAATAAATGAATGAGTGCCCATAAAGTATCATTCCTTCCACATATGAGCACTCAGAATTTTTAACCATGGAATGAAATGACCTAGAATCTGTAACCCCAGGATTCAGTTCTTGTCCTGTTGTCAACTTACTGTGTACCTCCAGCAATTCACTTACTCTCTCTGGACCTCTGGGAGAACACTGAGCAAAAGGAGATACCAGTTCCTGCCTTGGCTGAGAGAGATCGGGGGTCGGGGAAGGGTCAAATTGATAAGGAGACAGTTTGCCAAGCGAAAGAAGCTCCAGGAATATAAAAGAGAGGCCTGTTTTCTCTGAAGAAAGCCAGTGTCTCTAATTTCCCAATACGCACCAGCTGGGCTGTGTCAGGTGGTCGTGAGTAAGGAAAAAAAATCCCTTTGACTGAAATAGTGCTATTTTCCCGAGACCACTTGGTTTTGCTTTCAAATAATTTCTTCAGGGCTCCCAAGTGTCTCCTCTTTCTTACTCATTAGCAGTCTACAGAACTTAAAGGGGAGACTCTAATTAGGGAAAACTTTCATATCATTTACTAGGGAGAGATTGAAGAGGGCTGCCTTATGGGCTGCAGAGAACCTTCTAAATCTACACGAAGGCCCTTTAGCTCCAGGCCTCTGACTTGAGCTAAGGAGCAAAATCTAAAGACACAGGTCAGGAAGATGAGTCTGCCATTTGGAGTAGGCAATTATTTTTTTTTTTAATATACATGCTGGAAAAGTACACAGGACTGGGGCATCTGGGTGCCTGGGGATGGGTCTGACTCTTGCTTGTTGAAGAAGTGCAATTATTGACTCTGCTGTTAATGAGGAATGTGGAGTTTATAGGCTTAGGGCAAAGGAAGAGCAGCAGGAACAACCTGAACTGGGAGAGAACATTCCAGAGGCTGCTGTACCATGCCCTGATTCTGAGACCCCATCAAGAAGGGGGCAGGCCCACTCCTGGCCCCTCTGAGAGGCTGTGAGAGCGAACAAATGTTTAGACTCTTACATTAATATACTACTAGTACTAGCTCAGTGTGTGTCAGCAGAGGAGGGAGGTTGCCTAGGGTGCCGATGTCTTGGGTCGTATCACTGCAGATAGAGCATACCGAATGAGGGAGATGATAGTCTTCGGTATGGGGCTGGTATCCGTAGTTGAGGGGCAATATAGGCAAAATGGTAGTGATGGGGAGAAGGTTGGTAGGGAGGTATGATTACTGTTTAAACCACTAATTAATTAGTAGTTAACCGGCAGAACTAAGAAAGGGGAAAATACTTTCTGATGACAGCTGTTAACCAAATGGCTACGGACATGACCTTGGAGTTGG